CAGGTATAATTACAAGTATACTCTGCTGTAAGTAGCTGGTATTTGCATCATTAAGTAGCTGAATTCCTTGTCAGAATAACAATGACAGGTACATGCATTTCATTTCCCCTTTGTCCTGACAGTGAAAGAAAATCATACACGTTCTTAGTTTTGATTGCTCGACACAATTCATGGATTTATTTCAAAACCATCCTGGATTAATTTCTCACTGCTTTCTGTGCATGGATTTATCTCAATACCATTTTGGACTCATTCATGCATTATACATTAATGAAGTTTTGGTTCAGACGCCAATACATCCATTTGCATTCTTCTTTGACGTCAGGCTCTGAACGATGGTTGGTAAAAAGAAAATAAAGGACAGTATTTTGAACCATGTAATCAGAATGTACGATTCAATTTCTATGGTGTAATGTTGCATTCTTCTAGAGAAGTGGAAGATTATCACAATGGCCCACCTACGTCAAATCATGATCAAACAAACATGAAAATATCAAATAGTCATTGTAACTGCAAGTGATAGAAACTGCAAATAACAAAAGGAGCACTCTGATCCATCTATATCATTAGATAGTTCTCCTTTACTGGTTAAATGAAAGAGCAAAAACGGATATCTTTGTCGAAAGTTTCTTATTTGGGTAATTGTAACAAGAATGATTCTCGACCCACGGTCCCACTTAGTTTGTGCCTCTTGCCACAATTAATAGGGTGGCCTTTCACTTTTAATTTTCTCATCTCCTCTTCTCTCATGTTTCGTGTTCTTTTCCTTCTCTGCTTCTGATTGCTCATCGGTTGTTGTTGTTATAAATTATTATTAATGCCTGTCATTTCTTACACAAAATGTCTCTTGAGAAATTTTCCTTTAAAAGCAACTTCTTTTATGACGGAAAAGAAAACAACTTTTTTTTTGCCTCCTGTTCTAGTTTAGTTGGCGATGCGTCATGAAAGAAGCTTCAGTTTTGCCACCCAACTGTTTGATGAAATTCCTATACGAGAAACTCAATACTGTTGTCACCCCCATTTTCTCTCGGTTTTGATACATACATATTGTCTTTTTCTGGTCTAAAGTAATTTTGTAATGTTTCGGGTTCTATAGGCATATGTAATATACTAATATATGAAAAATTATAAAGTTGATCTTTTGTTGCTTGTTAAACTGTTCTTTTTTTTTTTTTTTGGTACAAAAATTCAGACCAATCCTTTTTCCTTTTTGAGGGGAATGGGATAAGGGGGAAAAAGTTAAGCGACAGGCTTGAACTTAATTACTTGCAGTCTCCAAGTGCCAATTATGCTGATGCGCGTCAATTCTCTAGTATGAAAAAGGCTCAGTGCGTCTGAATTTCAACAACATTGACATAGGTCTTAACTTCAAACTTTAGTTGGTCTCCAATCAAATTGCTTTTGATGTAGATAGTGAATTTTATTTTTGCTGTGATTTTACTTAATTAAGAACTGAAAATCCATTCTGTCATTCTCCATAGGGTGTTTTGTTTAGTCTACCAAACCGTACAGAAAGCTATGGATTAATTAGCTTGTTCTACATCTGTTAAATAGGTTGTTAAATAGACTAGTTTGGTCTGTCCTGTTTTGGTCTTGCTACTTTGATTGCAAATGTCCAATACATACATACATTCATACATATATTCTTGTGTATTATAGTTGTTTCCTTGTATGTATGTATTCAATCAGTAACTACATTTTGACATGTCATTTTTAGGTAAGTGCCAATGATGTGTTAGTTTGTTTCGTGTGCACTATTAGCAATTAGGAGACGTGTACAAGTATTCGCAAAATTGCCTGAACTAAAAAGCTTTAATGTCATGTCAACAACAAATTATTCGGATAATAGTGCCACCCATCACATTTGGATGACATTTCAAGCTTAAGTCTGGCATTAACATGTTTATATGCATAAGAGTGTTTGATTGCATAAAATTAAAAAAAAAAGAAAAGAAAAGAAAAAAAAAGCTTGTCATTATGTCATTGTTATGTTGGATCAAGAACCAGTTGGTTAGGTTGAATGTAGGCCGATTCCAATATGGGTCATCAAACGATCCGCGTAATTAATTAGCTGAATATAAATGTAGCTGGATGGTTCACGACCTGGCCCGTTTTACTAACAAGGCGAGAACAAGAAAGAAATCAAGGAAATGAATCAACTAAACGCAGGTATAAAATGATTTGCGTTCTGATCCTCAGTCTCATGAATCTGATCTTTTGCACGTTTCTCTTTTTTTTTTGGTTACAAGGACGGGATCAAACCCACACACACCCCACACATACACACGCATACCACTAGGCCAAACGGCCAGTGGTTGATCTTTTGCACATTTGTGAATTTGGACAAAGAAGTTAAATAGTTTTAAATATAAGACTTATTTTGTAATTACACTAAAAAATAGGTTTTACATTTAAAATCAGAGGAGTGCTTTTATTTCTACAATCTTTATATATCACTCTGGTCCTCATTATTTGTCATATATGGGGAGAAACTAGTAAAGGTAAAGAAAGAGGGGATGAGTGAGAGAAAATATACTATTCATCTGGTTCTTAATATAAGACCTAATTAACTAATTTGAGTAGATTAAAGATGTTAATTAAATTAATCAATATAGCATGCTGTTTCTAAAACACCCCAACATCTTTCTTAATTCTCCTCCTTCTTCTCCTACTTGATTATTATTGAGAAAATCTCAATAGGATTAATTTAAAAAAAAATTGATAAACATATAAAATAAATTTTATATATAGAACTAATATCAACTCTTAAATTATGTCTTATATTAAAGACCGGAAAAGTAGTATTTAATACTCTCTTTAGTAAGGACAAAAGGGAAAGATTTTGGAAGTGTTTGAGGAGAAACTAAATTATAACTTTAAAAATGATTTTACGATATAAAAAAAGTATATAAAAAAAGTTTTGTCTTGATTTATATAAAAATATTTTTTAAAAATAATATTCTTCTTGCGCGTGAGAACTCGTATCAGTGACAAATAATAAATAGCAAAGTGGTAGTTTCTTAACTTTCGGTGGTTTCCAATCAGGTTGTCGGAGATGTGGAAAGTGAACTTTATTTTATTTCATTAAGCATTGAAATAAAATAGAAATCACATGCCCCATTGCCCATTGCTGACTTCCTATTTAGTGCTCTCTATTTATTAAGCATTGTCCTGACCATTTTAATTGGATTCATTAAGACTTAAAAGCACAAATAAATCACTGTTCAGGTAATAATTGTATGTCAGAATAAAAGAGGAAATTATATTTATTTCTAAGATTAAGGTGCCATTTTAACAATTAAGGGTTTTGCTTAATAAGGAAAAAAAGCTTAAATTTCTTAGATCCATTATATCAAATTTTCTAATTGCACATGGTCATGTGTGATTTTTTGTTTCATGTGGATTTATAATTAAATTTTAATATTTTAAAAATAGGGTATATGATTATGTATAATAAGAGAACTTGACATAATGAACATAAGAAACCTGATGTGAGTATTATTCTAATAATAATACTTACTATTTAATCTAAAGAAATCAAAGAAGTTAAAAAGTTAAGAAATACTGAAACAGAGTACTTAACCTCTTTTTACTGCATAATATGCATAGTTCAAGCCTGCGATTTAATTTTTTTCAATCCCATTTCACTCAAAAAGGGACGAAGGGCTTGTCTAAACTTTAACTCTATGTTTGATACAAGGAAATTGGAGGAGAAGAAAAGAGAGAAAAAGTTTTGACTAGCTCAATTTAAAAAATTAGAAAGGGGATTATAAAATTTTGATTAAAAAAAAATGATAAAAGAGCAAGCAAAATTAACTTTGTTTTTAATCCCACTTTTTCAATTTTTTAAATTAAGCTCATTAAAAATTTTTCCCCTTTCCCTTATTTTCGTTTCAGTTCAAAACGCAACAAAAGACCAACCTTTATGTGTTTCACATACTGATAAATTGCACAAGCCCATCGAACCAGGAACACTACCAAATTGAAAAAAAAAAAAGGGTTAACACAATTTTGGATCCATTAAATTTTTCGAATTTTAGTTTCTGTCCCTTAAGTTTTTAATTATAGGTTTATGTTCTTCAAATTTCTTTTTATTAAAACATTGGTTCACAAAAAAAAAACTTGAACTATTTTATCTGTTAGAAAAATCAAAATCTATAATTTAAAACTTAAAGGACTAACAACAAAATTAGGATAGATTTGAAGAGACAAACACTATATTAACCCTGGGAAAAAAAGCAATCATACATCGTTTCGCTTTGTTCAATCAATTTTTAATCAAACTGAGTTTTGACCGGTACTTAGACATGATTGCTCTCTTAAGCTAACGGAATCAAGTAATAAAGCTAGCTACCAAACAATTTTCTTGATCGAATAGACCAGTGTAGACCGATTTAGAAAATATTGCATGTCAGAGTAGCATGTTTGACCCTTTATTTGTTGTCTAGTGTAGTTGAACTTCACAGCAACTTAAAGCATGCCCCACATTTGTTTGTCTTGCGTTACTGAATTTCCCAGCAATTTCACGGACATTTGCTATCTCCCGAGACTATTCACAGAACCCTGAGCGTGAGAGCCTTCGCTCATTTCGAGGAATTTCATGTGAGAAGCTAGACAGTAGCCCACTTTCCACCATATTATTGGAGACAAATAGAGTAGACGTGTCTTCATCAATACAAATCTCGCTCTTCAAAAGTATAAGCTTTTAAGGACCCTCAAAGTCTTGGACTCACGTGTTGATCCTAATTAACCTGCGTTTAAATTTTTGTTTTTTGTTCTTTTTGTTGTAGCTGGATTTTGAAAATTACGTACCTAACTGGCATGTCCACCCGATTGTCGAACCCTATTTTTCTCTAAGGCAACATACCTGGAAACTTGACCAAACATTCATGGAAGCTTCGGTGCTAAACTTTAATGGGATCAGAGAATAGAGAGCTTGAAATCTCGGGAGAGACAACCCAGAATTGAGCATCCGTTGCATGAAAGAGCAGTGGTATTTCTAAATTCCGTTGCATGAACTGGATTAGGTGCCAGTAGCTAGTCTAGCTAATGGGTAGTTCTTCAACAGCAAACTCATGGGATCAGAGAATAGAGAGCTTGAAATCTCGGGAGAGACAACCCAGAATTGAGCCTCCGTCATCAGTGAAGAAAGATTTCAAAGCATCAAACCTTATGACAACAGAGTTATACATGGCTATTCGAAGTGATATGCCTAATAACTTCGTTGCAGAGTTAGAGGGACTATGTGGGAGGGAGGGATCAGTTCATGTGTCAGACATTGCGGAGCAACTCACCCGTGGAGGAAATACTATGCTTCATCTTGCAGCTAAAAATGGAAGCGTAGATGTTTTGCAGCTAATAGTTAATCACTTCCCTCAACTAATCATAAGGACGAACATCACAGGAGATACGGCTCTTCATTTTGCCGCTAGAATTGAGAAGGTTATTGAATTAACCAGGATAATTCTCAACTCTTATGCAGCTCAATTTCACAACAATGAAGAGAAAAACCTGTTGAGGATAAAGAATGAGTTTGGAAACACGGCATTGCATGAGGCTGTGAGGACACATGATCTTGAGATTGCTCGTCTCATATTTGAAGCAGATAAAGATGTAGCCAATTATCTGAATAACGAAGGTAAATCGCCATTGTACTTGGCTGTTGAGACTAAACAGGATGGTACTATTGATCTCTTACTGGAAGCTGCGTTACAGAATCAGGAGAGCCACCACGGAACCTCCCCACTCCATGCTGCTATCATGGTTATGTGTTCAGGTACAGTTCAGAGCATTTTTTGTGTTCCTTCTGTTTTCAACGCGAGTACAAGTTTTTGATTGAAGCATACCCCAAAAACTAGCTCTTGGAGTTGAAGAATCCAAGGCCTTAAAAGGCCTTTCTTTCAAGATAACCCTTTTAAAGTGAAACTCACGACAATTTTCTTCTCTTCTCAAAATTTCTGCACAACATTTTCTACAGGTCGAAAAAGAAAACATCGATTTAAACCTTTGCTGCAGCGTTTGGAGACGGACAAGTCCTCAAATTTCGAGTCATCGCCATCAAGAGCTTATGATTTCAGTGGAAGTTATACCAGTTTTCTTAAGCTTAACCTGGGTAATTTATGGTCTGATTACAAAATATACAAAAAAAAGTTGCTTACTCTGCTTTTTTCCATTTGTTTTAAAACAATTTCCTGTACTTATTAAAACTGACATGCAAAATTTTCTACAGCTGCAAGAACCACACTCACTTCTCAACCTAAGGTCCAAGGTACGGGGGCACAACCCAACGCTTCAACAACGAGAACAAAAACAAAAGGCTGGGGTATGAATAATCACTCTCCTTTCAGTGAAAGTTATATCAGTTTCATAAATTTTCCCATCCAACAAGCAAATCTTGGAACGTGCTCTTTGTTTGAACTTATGCTTAGAAAATTGGTACTTTTCAATACAAGTAGAAAATGACAATACAACCAAAGTTAATTTCTTCTCTAACATTTTCTGCAGGTCGAATAATCAACGATAAATTCCAATCACTGGTTAAGGGTTGGAAGAAAGACAAGACTACCAATGTCGAGTCCTCACCAACAAGAACCGAAATAAATTGGTGTGGTATGATTAATTAACCTGACTTTATGCTAAAATCGAATAATGCTTGAATAAATAAGTGCTCGACCTGTAACTTTGCATTCAGAAACTTTTTACAAAAGAAGGAAAAGACAAAAATCCTTCCTTTCCCTTTTGTTATTTTGAATATTACCTCCAGTAGTTAATATAAGAGCTATGTAACTAATTTGTAAATATTAATAAAATTAGTTAAGTTAGTTATTTATAATAAATAAGTGTTATCTTTTTTAAAATATCCTTATTAATTATGTGCATTATAATGCAAACCCTTTAACATGTGTCATCACCATAGCAGACTACTTTGTGAAAAAATGAACAAAGTAGATTGGAGTCTTGTATTTAGGATCAAATAACATATCCAATTAGATCATATATTTAGAATGAAGATAGTATACTGTATGAGTTTTCTGATTGTTTCAAAATCATGCATTTCCCAGAGAAAATACTTGAAAAGTCACCTGAACTGGTATTCCTGAAAGACGAGAAAGGTCGTACAGCCCTACATTTGGCAGCATCCATGGGAAATGTTGAAGGTGTACGTACAATTTTAAAGGCATGTCCTCTCAGTGCCCTGGAGTGGGATCTGAAAGGGTATCTTCCTATCCATATTGCTTGTAAGAAAGGCCATGTCAAAGTGGTTAAGGAATTTGTTCAGAAACAGGAGCCATGGTTTGATCCTATGGAATTATTGAACCAGAAAGGTCAAAACATGTTGCACATTGCAGCAAAGAGTGGAAAAGATAGACTGGTGGTGTATGTATTAAGCGAAGGGAAGCTTGAGAAGCTATTAAACGAGGGAGACAAGAACGGGAATACTCCTTTGCATTTAGCTTCCAAATACTTGCACCCAAAGATAATTCAGTTGCTAAGACAAACCAAGAGACTCAAAGTCAACCTAGTGAAATAACAAAGGCATGACAGCCCGTTATATTGCCATGCTTAAAAGAAGTACACCACCAACTCTTCGAGAGGTATGATCTCATAAATCTGTTCCCTTATTTTAAAGATGATTTATTACACTTGGTAGAAGGAAAATTGAAGAACAGTAACGAAAGCTTCCCCCCCCCCCCTCCTGTAATGCTCTGCTTCGCATTTCTTTTTCAATCATCCCTTCCCTCTCATTCTTAAAATTTTTCATTTGCTCTTGATCTTTTACGGTCACTAACAAATAAATCATCAACATAGAGTGACATTAGCAGTAATTTTACTGTTCCGCCTTTCTTACATGTAAAGTAGATTTATTTTCACTCCTCTTGGGACCAAAATGATTAAGATAACCGTCAATTTTTGCTGTACCAAGGTCTCTGGGCTTGTCCTAGACCATAAAGAACTTTCTGAAGCTTATAAACTCAACTCCTCCTTGCCAAAAAACTTGAAATCACCTAATTTCTCAACAAAGATCTCTTTGTGTGGCTCTCCATTCAAGAATGAAGATATCCCTTAACTGACACGTCTCTTAAGAATGAAGATCTCTTTATGCCCCCTGTTTTCAGAGTACAACGTAACTTCTACAAAAAATTGACTAAGAATATCTGTTTATGCCTTCTGTTTTAATCGATAAAGGAGGACCACTTAATAATATAGACGGATCACAGAGTGCCTCTTTGTTATCTGCAGTTTCTATCACTTGCACTCTTGAAATCTATTGGCACACCTTTGAGTGAAAAGGGAAGAAGAATCAGGCGTTCACATGCTGAACCATCTCGGATTAAATGGATCAAAGACCGTGTCAGCACTATCTTAGTAGTAGCAATATTAGTTGCTACTGTAACATTTACCGCTGGTTTTACAGTGCCTGGTGGTGTCTATAGCTCTGATGACAAAGACACAGAGAAAAGAGGCATGGCCACTTTGCTCAACAGAAGAATGTTCCAGGTATTCACAATTTGCGATGCAATAGCAATGTACAGCTCTACCATGGGATCTTCCATTCTGCTATGGGCTCACTTGGGAGACTTTCATATGGCATCCAGTGCCACGTACTTTGCTTTCTATTTGGTTGGTTTGGCTCTAATTACAATGTCAATTGCATTCATGGCCGCACTACATTAAGCAGTGAGAAATGTTTCGTGGGTAGCTGACACTGTGATTGCTATTGGGGTCATCTTCCTTTTGATGCTTCTGGGCGTATTTATTCTTCTGATATTCCCTTTAGGAGAACAAGGTCTTTTCTCGGGTCACATCTCTGACTTTATTTTTAAGATCATCATCCCATTTTCAGGAAGTTATGGGAAGTTAACAAGGAAAGTTAAAGTTAAGGAGATAGAGGCGTTCGAAGAAACAAAAAAGGAGGAAGACAATGGTGAAGACCAAAAAATAAGGACGGAGAAGCTTGTGAGACTGCATACTGTTTAGCTGCTTTTCAAATAGAAGTAGCAACCAAAGGGTAGGAGGGATTGCATGCACAAGTTTGTTTCTTGGAGGTCATATCCTGGACGACTATTTGATATTTCACTTTGTTTGATCATGATTTGACTAAGTTAGGTTGACCATTATGATAACTATCTGCCAGTTCATTAGAAGAAATCAACATTTCATCATAAAAGTTAAATCTTGCATTCTGATTACCTGGTTCAAAATAATGTTTTTTTATTGTAGGATTAAGGTCCAATTTTGGACAGGAAGTTTTTTACCAGAAATTGTAGGTACTTCAAATTTTTTTAAGAGTAATTTTGCCCCAAAAATCACTTGTTTGAAAAACTTAATTTTGACTCTTAGTTTGACTTATACCCACACTCAACACAGCCACCCCATCATCTAGAGCCACATCATCAGCCAGATCACTTTCTCCCTCTCTCCTCTGTGCTCTGTCTTCTTCTTCTTCGGAGGCGACCTCACGAACTGGACAAGATGAAGGTGGAGTGGAAGAGGGGCGGAAGAGGCTAGCGAGGAAGAGAGGAGGAAGTGGTTTGGATGATGTTGCGGTTTAGGATCGGTGATAAGGTGGCTGAATGTGATAAGTCAAACTAACAGCGAAAATTAACTTCGATAATGAATACGACGAGATTGCTATGTTTTGAATACTTTCTAAAAAAAATTTCGGATACCCATAACTCTTAACAAAAAATTTTGAAAACAAAATGTGATCTGAATCCTTTATTATTCATTGTAACAATCATCTTTTTTTTTTTTTTGGTGTGAAGTAACAACCAGCCTTAAGAGCTTCAGGTCAAAAAAGAATGCAAATGGATGTTTTATTGTCTGAAGAAGATAACTTCTTTACTTATAATACATGGACAAATCCTATTGAAACAAATCTGTGAACTGTGTCAAGCAATAAAAAATAAAAATAAAAATAAAAATACCTGTTGAATTTCAAAATAATAAATAGGTGATTTTAATAAATTTTTACTTGTCAAAACCATTATAAAAGTAGTCAAAAGCATCACAAAAGTAGTCATTATGAAGTATTTGTCTTTTTAAAACTCAATACGTAATTTGTATCATTTTCCCATAAGAAATTGAAACTAGTATAATTTTCATTTGGTGTTAGGACAAAGGGGAAATGAAATGGTATGCATCTGTCATTGTTGAACAAGTTACTTGTGCAGTAGATATTACACTGCCTTTTGCAGTGAATCTAGCGAGCGAAAGCATTTTATAGCTGATTGCCAATCACTTCCCTCAACTCATCACAAGGAGAAACAGTTCTTCATGCTGTTGCCAGAAATCGTAGGCCTTCCACAATTTTCTTCTTTCTTCCTTATTCCTCAATTTAATCAAGTACGTTTATAAAACTGGTTTGATCTATACTACTTGCAATCCTTATTATAAGAGCTAGTATGACATTCAATTTGGTTCTAAATATAAGACCCAATTCACTTTGTTTCTCATATTTATCCATTTTTGTTTAAGTAGTCCTTATAATAGTTGCATATTCCATCAAATAGTAGTTCTAACTAATACACATGATTATTAAAGGTATTTTAGGAAAAATAACACATATTTATTACAAATAATTAATTTAACAAACTTTATTAATTTACTCAAATTAGTCAACTAACTCTTATACTATCTCCTGTCCTTAATATAAAAGTTAGTTGACTAATTTAAGTAGATTAAGAAAATTTGTTGAGTTAGTTATTTGTAATAATTAGGTGTTGTCTTTTCTAAAATACCCTTACTAATCATATATTAGCTAAAACTATCATTCGATTGAATATTTAACATGTGTAACTACTATATGGACTACTTTGGAGAAAAAAGGATAAATATGAGAGACAAAACGGATTGGAGTTTTGTATTTAGGACTAAATTAAGAGCCAAACTAGTTCTTATATTAAGAACCGGGAGTAGTATTAAGAATCAGAGGTAGTATATATTTTTAAATAACTTGGACCCAATGCAAGAACTTTTCTTCTCTGGTGAAAACTTTTTGTCAAGTTAGAGAAAATAGTTACTACCTCCTATCCTTAATATAAAAGATAAATAACTAAATTAGAGATATTAAAAGAAATCAGTTAAGTTAGTTATTTGTAACAATATACGTTGATTTTCCTAAATTACCTTTATCCAATCATGTACATTGGAATTACACTTTGGTAGAAATAACTTACAATCAATAGGAATATTTTTTAGGATATATTATACATTTGAGAGGCAAAATACATCGAGATCTTATATTTAGGATCCCTAATTATTTTTTATATTTAGGACTAGGTAGGAGTATAATTTATTAGAAGTTATAAAACTGTTAGAGATATAAATTATTTTTCAAAAATATCCTCATTTATTTAATACTCTTGTCTTTAATATAAGACTGATTTAATTGATTTGATTAAATTAAAGAAGTTAGTTAAGTTATCCTCCCTTCTTCTCCTACTTGATTAGGGTTGAAGGAGTGTGGCTAATTTAAAAAAATTAATAAATATAAGAAATAGATCCTATATTTAGAACCAAAATCAACTCAACAATTAGATCCGATATTAAAGACCAAAGAAGTACCATCCAATCTTTTTTATAAGTCATTTCAATTTTCAACATTTTCACTAGAATTAAACAAATGCTTAAAACTCATTAATTCTATCTAAAAATTGACAAAATTTCAAGGGAGAATTACAATCAAGTCCCCCAAAAAAAATTTAGTAACCTTAAAGTCAATTGACAAGTGAAGAGTCACTACTACAGTGAAGACTTTTTACTTCTGTTTTGCATTACTTTTTACTTCTGTTTTGCGGGGGACATGAAAAGAAGGGACATAAAAAGTACCCCCTTTTTACTTCTGTTTTGAATAGAAGCGAATAATGGTATTATTTACATCTGTTTTAAACAGAAGTAAAAAATCACTTTTTACTTCTGTTTCTACAAAAACAGACGTAAATTCACATCTGGAGTGACAAAACAGACATGAATTTACGTCTGTTTTGTTAGAACAAAGGTAAATTGACGTCTGTTTTGGCGTAAAACAGAGATTAAAAGTATGATTTTGTACTTCTGTTTCCTAAAACAGACGTGAATGTGCTCTTTTTAAAAAAAAAATTCACTTCGTATGTACCACTTCCCTTACAGCCACAATAGCCATAATAGCCACTTTCTAGCACATTGAAATAGAATGAACCAGTCAATATTTTCAGCCAAGACATATCAGCATCACAACTTCATCAATATATTGACACATTAACTAACTAGTCAAAAAAGAAGAACAAATTGTAAAAGTCAAAATTGATAACCTATTATCTCTATAAACATAAACTTGATCAATCCCTAGACCACCATTCTTGAAGCAGTTGCTCTGCCAAAAGGTCTCGGATGAAGTCAATATCATCAACAGTATGTGAGCAGTCATTATCAAAAATCTGTCAATTGACAAATGAACAAATTTAAACATATGAAGAAAATAAAATAAATAACAATTCAATTTAAAAATTCAACAACTATTACAAAACTAAAATTATATTTACTTACCTCATCAAATTTTGTAGTACATCCACTCTCAATAATTTCAAACATATAACGGATAATGTAATATCCGCACTCTGTTGACCCTCGTTGCTTAGCACATTGCAAATCACAAGGAAATGATAATCTAAATTCATATATAAAATAACTCATCAATGAAAGAACTTCAATTCAAAGTACTAACATTGGGATAGAACCAAGTTGTTGGGCCATTTTTGCCAGAACGCTTCCCACCGGTTATATAATAAGTCTTTAAAGCCCTATAAGCAAATAAAAACAAAGTTAAATAATTTATAGTAAAAAAAATTATTGATCTACATTAAGGTACTTACGTGTTGAAAACGCCCCTCATCTCAGTGCTTGGACGACGACCCAAGGGATCAAACCAGTAGATGACATTGTCGATAGGACAAGAAACACACAAACTCCAATGATGACTGCATCATAGAATAAGACTTATACATTATTGGATATCACAATAATTCTTAGCAATTTAAGTATGTCTAAAAAAATATAATTAAGCTACTTGCCCCTCAATAATTGGTGCCAAATAACAAGGTAATTTAGTGTCTCCAATCGTATTGCCCACATATCTGATTCTCCTATCTAGTGGGTTGGACTTCTTCTGGACACTTGCAGGGCATAAATATCCATACAAATTTCTCTTCTCCATTGATGACATGCATTTGTTATGGAAAAAGCTATCATTGAATTAAAATAAGGTAATTATTAGCATGTGCAAAGTAAGAAATTAGAAGTTTAAGTTAGAGATGAAAAAATAAACTTACATGATTGCTAATTGAAGCCATGCTATGTCCAACTCCTTCAAAGATAAGAATTCCCTGATATCGTTGTTGTCAAGTCCAAAGAAATATGATTTTTCTTCACCCACAATCCCTACAGACATCTTTATGTTGACCTTGTTAATTGTTTTATATTCCTCATATAATTGTGCCAAGCAGGGATATCTATCAACATCTTTCTGGTCCTAATGAAACATCAAATAAACATAATAAGTATTATAAGTATTATGTTAAAAAAAATTCACACAATACAGCATGACATTTTCTTACCATCAAAGGTATTATCTCCTCATCGACAAGGTGTCTAGGCCAAAGAATGAAAGTTCCAATTGTCTGACCTAACTTCACAACTTCAGTAGTCGGGAATTGCACATCCGCTCCTGTATCTCCCTCTCAAATAGTCATAACTGTAACCCTCACTTGGTCCTCTGGAATTTGTTGGTGATGGATAGTGCTCCCGTGATTGTAGAGGAGAGCGTCAGCAGCAACACACATCCTTGGGACCTTTAAACGAAGACAACAAGGTTGTCTAAAGTCCGGCATAGGACTACTAGGATCATGCTCTCCCAATGCCCCGGGTGGATTACAACTGTCTTTAGTGCTAGGAAAGATAGGGGAATCCTAAATGAGAGAAATGCAAGTACTAAATTAAATAAGAAAAGCGTTGGTAAAACTCAATATAAATTTAAGTGAAATTGATTACAAACCTGAGGTGTGCATTGTTGTTGAACTGTCCCAAGTTGCATGCTAGAGACCATAGATTTCATCTCATCA